GTTATAAAGATGTCTAATGTTCTGCGGCAAATCATCCCTAGACCTCCTGACTCCTGGGAATGCGGAGAGAGGCACATGAAAAATGACACGAATCGACGGGTAGATGGAGGATTGGTACATCTCCCACAAATCTTTTGTTCTTCAGAGATATTTTGTGAAAAAGAGCAGATAAATAAATATATATTGCGACCCTGCCTGGGTCAGACAAGTCTAGCCATCATATAGGTGTGTGAGATCCATCCACCTCCTCCACCTCAAACACAAATACACAAGCAGGTATGTGCCACTGAATTTAGACTCTTTGGGGAAGGTCCCTCTGTAGCTTTTGCCACCTCTCGGCTCCTATGTACTAAGCACAGCCTTTCTGCTGGCCAGCCTGATGTATAGGCTGATAAAGGGTCATGTGACTGTGATGTCACAGCCAGATGCCTCGGGGCTCCATAGGGGGTGATGTCACTCCACTGCTTACACAGACACTGAGCACTTACATTTGCTTCTTTCCACTGGATCCAAAAACACTCCAGGTGAATGTAGAATGGAATGGAACATTAAATGATGGCTGCCTGCAACTGTGATTCACGTGTGACGTACACGGGTGTCCACAAACACCCACAGACATACACACATGCACACCCCAAGCCAGCAACAAACCCACGTGAAACGGGACAGTCTTCAGAGACTTTATTATGGTACTTATATCCCAAGCTATTGTTAAATATCAGTAAATATCAGGCATCATTGCATAACTTAAATCCACAAAAAATAAATGCTTTATATCATCAAAAACGAATAATTGGTGTTTGGAGACTTGACCATTTAGTTTGTAGGGGCCGTGTATTAAAATGTGCATGAATTGTACTGGGAAACTCTCTGTTTTTCATTTTTTTCTGTGGGATAAAACCCACAAACACCGCCACGCCTGCCCTTTGATGGCGACTCCAGAGGAACTGTTTCATGTTTCTTTTTGTTGCTTTGCTGTTGTTTTGTCCTCATTAGTGAGCTGGGGAGGACAACAGGCAGAGTGCGCGGCAATAGAGAATGCGGGATCGAGATAAGAAATGAAAGAGCTCCGTGTACGTGCGGGTGCGTTCGGGATGATGGCGGAAGCAGAAATCTGTTTTCCCAATAACCGCTCGAAGGCTTTGAACACTGATTAATTTAACAACAAACTCATAACCCCTTGTTGTCAGGACAGAAGGCCTGGGTTTCCCGTTCATGTCATTGCACAGACTCCCACATATTTAAAGTTCCCTGTCGATACTCCCCAGCTCTGTCTAGCAGGTAGTAAATAGCAAATCTATTCCAGAAGGTGTAAAATATTCATACGGTTCTGTGAAATAGTGACAGCTGCATGCTGCTTTGGGGCCTGCTGATGCCCTTGTGCCCCCCCCCCCCCCCCCCCACCTCGCGCCCCCCCTCGGGGGGGGGGGGGGGGGGGTCCAAGGCTCCCGGGTTTGCCATTTAACAAGAGGCTTCACACCATTGCTTTCAGATCCCTGCATGCCATTGGCTCGGCAATTTAGGCTGGACGTGATGGCCGGGGGGGGGGGGGGGCAAAAGGGCATCAGCAGGCCCCAAAGCAGCATGCAGCTGTCACTATTTCACAGAACCGTATGAATATTTTACACCTTCTGGAATAGATTTGCTATTTACTACCTGCTAGACAGAGCTGGGGAGTATCGACA